TGCAGATTCACAGGCAGAAGGGACTTGCCTTGTCTCAGATGAGACTTTGGACTTGGACTTTTGAGTTAACGCTGCAATGAGTTAAGACCTTGGGGGACTGTTGGAAGGGCATGATTGCGTTTTGAAATGTGAGGACATGAGATTTGAGAGGGGCCAGGGCAGAATGATATGGTTTGGCTGTGTCCCCACCCAAATCTCATCTTGAATTATAGTTCCCATAATCCCCACATGTCATGGGGAGGGACCCGGTGGGAGGTAATTGAATCATGGGGGTGGTTTCCACCATGCTATTCTCATGATAGTAAGTTCTCACGAGATCTGATGGTTTTATAAGGGGCTTCACCCTCAGCTCGGCACTCATTCTTCTCCTTCCTGCTGCCATTTAAAGAGGATGTGTTTGCTTCACCTTCTGCCAGGATTGTAAGTTTCCTGAGGCCTCCCCAGTCTTGTGGAACTGTGAGTCAATTAAACCTCTTTTCTTTATAAATTACCCGTCTTGGGCGGTTCTTTATAGCAGCATGAGAACAAACTAATACAGCAACCCACTCTATCTCACCATTGCCAAGTCCAAGTTATCATGCCAAAGTGATTTCACTGCAAACTGTTCTTTGCTAAAGGGGTGGCGGGGGGTGTCTCTAGTCAAATAAGTTCAGGGGATGCTGCACATGAGACCTTTTCTGGGAGAGACACAATGCACACTGACACGTTTCCAGCTATGAGAAGTCCTACAGTCACTAAGGTTTTCTTAAACATATTTGACATTTGTGTCCTTGACACACAACATCCTGCAAATGCAGCATTCCGAGATGCGGTCGTTGGGAAACTCAGCCCTAAATCCTGCTCTTTTGTGCAGCTAAGCCACATACTCCCCACCCAGGATTGTAATTTTGGGGTTTTGTGAACCCAAATGCAGGACCCAGCATTGATTCCTCTAACACATCCTGTTAGATTCTGCCTTCCCACCACCACTCAGCCTGTTGAGGGCTTTCTGGAGCTTGATGCTTGGAACCCTATTTGTTTTGGACCCGTATCTCTCTAGCAAATCTTCCCACATGCACACACATGGCTGCAGAAAAATGGTAGACCACAGGTGAACACCAGTTCAGCCCTGCATGGGCTGCTCCCCCTGGCCAGGCTTGGGCAAGTTCCTTACTATACAAACAGCCCTGCAGGGCAGGGTGCTTCCGGAGCATCAGGGAGGAATTTTATGTGGCTTCCAGGGAGATGCGTTCAGTTAAAGTTGTTTTTCCCTTGAAAGGCCCCAAAGTGAAAAGCAGTTGCAGGAAAGTTGAATTATTACCTAATGCCAGTAGCAGCTGCTGGTAAGGAAGAAGGAAAGCAGGTTGGGGAGCTGGTGTCTGGGATTTGGGGGCTCATTAACACTCACTTCTTAAATTAGCAAATCCTTATAGCACACGTTTAAAAATAGCAGCCTAATGGTTTCTAAAATTAGCCATCATTGCTCTCCATAAATATTTAGACCTCCAATAAACCTCTGGTCCACTCGCCTAGCCTAATGGGCTTGGCTTTTATGCCACATTCTTTAGGATCTGTATACTTAATTACTGACCTTGACAGTGAGAGCTGCAAGAAGCCCCATTATGCTTGGACCAGGGACACCCTGTGTGGCCGTCACGCTGGAGGCAGCCTCAAAGCAGGGCGGGAAGAGATCTCAGAGGCCATTCGGAGATCTAGGTACCTGGAGGAGCCTCTGGTCCTGGTTTCCTTGGGACTGTCTTAGTTTCAGCCCTGAAGGTCCCTGTCCTGGGCAACCCCTCAGGCCCTAGCAAAGCAGGGCAGTTTGTTGTCCTGGCTGCCCAAACCACTGCAAAAGGGACAAGGCCACTGTTCTGAGATCTCTGTGGGAAGGAGAATCTGTTGCTAACACCATCCCTCAGTCCTTACACTAACTTCAGTCCCATCTCATTGAAGCATTAGTATTTAAAGGGGGGAATGACACCAAGGAGAACACTAGCCAGGCCAGGCATAGGACTTTTGTCCTCTGCTCCTCTCATTTGCCCATGTGTAAAAAGGGGATGGTAACAGTCACTGACGCATTAGGTTGTTGGGAATAAACTAGGAGATGTGTCAGTGTTCAAACCGTGCTCAGGCCCGGTCATCTGGTGCCATCAGTGTGCTCAGGGTGTAGCGTGGGTCCGCTGGCAGCCCCACTGGCTGTGCCTATCAGGGTGGCCACCTTGGCCTTGTTGCCAGCACCTCCCCTAGGGCAGTGACCATAGGACAGCCGGCCCCAGTCCTTCTCTGGCCAGCAGGGACTGTGATGGTGTCCCCAGTCCCTGGACAGAGTGAGTGCTTGCTGTGTGGAGGAAAGAAAGGCTTTATGCAAAGCCAGCATCGTGCATAGTGCATGTGACAAATTCTGGGCTGTGAAAAAATAGTCATCCAAAACAGCAGCAGAAAAATACTCGGTGTATCAGTCCATTCTCACAATGCAACCTGAGTCAAAGAACTACCTGAGACAGGATAATTTATAAAGAAAAGAGGCTTCATTGGCTCTCACAAGCTGTACAGGAAGCATGACTGGAGAGGCCTTAGGAAACTTACAATCATGGCGGAAGGTAAAGGGGAAGCAGGCATGACACGGCCAGAGAAGGAAGAAGAGAGAGAGGGGAGCAGGCAGGTGCTGCACACTTTTAAACAACCAGATCTCGTGAGAACTCACTCACTATCACAAGAAGAGTAAGGAAGAGGTCTGCCCCCATGATTCATTTGCCTCCCATCAGGCCCTTCCGCAAACACTGGGGACTGCCATTCGACATGAGATTTGGGTGGGGACACAAATCCGAACCCTATCACCTGGACACCCCTTCAGTCTACTCCGTGTCCTGTGAGGCACCACATTGTTTTGTTATTATTTATTTTTGTTTGTTCATTCACCAGGACAGAACCAATTACCTCCTACAATGCTAAAGCATTTAAACCCAGTATATGTTTTTAAATTAGCAAGATGACGGTTTAGACTCCCAGTGGAAACATCAGTTATTATTTACTCACCAAGTGATTTCCATCTAGTAGGGGATTTATTTATTTATTTAGTTAGTTAGTTTTCAAGACAGAGTCTCGTTCTGTCGCCCAGGCTGGAGTGCAGTGGCACGATCTAGGCTCACTGAAACCTCCGCCTCCCGGTTCAGGCAATTCTCCTGCCTCAGCCTCCTGAGTAGCTGGGGATGACAGGTGCACTCCACCAATGCCCAGCTGATTTTTGGTTTTTTTTAGTAGAGGCAGGCTTTCACCATGTTGGCCAGGCTGGTCTCAAACTCCTGACCTTAAGCGATCCACCTGCCTTAGCCTCCCAAAGTGCTGGGATTACAGCCGCCAAGCCCCACTGGGGATTTCTTGACAATGTCTCAGGGTCTCATGGGCAACACCCTGCAGCCCATTTTTCCTGTGTGCAGCCTGCACTGCTTAACTGAGGCTCAGTCCTCTGCAGAAGAAGAAGCAGGTTTTGCCTACTGAGTTTTTCGCCGGTTTGGGATGCTGAAGTGACTTGTCGTCAGCAGAGACGCTTCCCTTTCCTCCCTTCAGAACCAAAAAAGAAGCTGAGCCCCAGGTCACCCACTGGATGGGCGCAGCCAGGGCCTGGACCTCCTGATGCTTGGTCTCGCTGATTACCTTACCCCAGGCAGGAGGGAAAGCTAGTGGTGTCCACTCAAGACTTTCACTCCCCTCCCTTTCTGCCTTCATCCCTTCCTTTTTCCCTTCCTTTCTCTGTGCCCCCGCTTCCTTCCTTTCTCCTTCCTCCCTCCCTCCTCCTCTTCTTCCCTCTCTCCTTCCTTCCTTCCTTCCTTCTGTATTTCCTAGTGTTTTTTTGTTTGCTTGTTTTGTTTTTTGAGACGGAGTCTTACTCTGTCGCCCAGGCTGGAGTGCAGTGGTGCGATCTCAGCTCACTGCAACCTCACCCTCCCTGGTTCAAGCAATTCTCCTGCCTCAGCCTCCCAAGTAGCTGGGATTATAGGCACCTGCCAACATGCCCAGCTAATTTTTGTATTTTTAGTAGAGACGAGGTTTCACCATGTTGGCCAGGCTGGTCTTGAACTTCTGACCTCAGGTGATTCACCTGCCTCGGCCTCCCAAAGTGCTGGGATTACAGGCATGAGCCACTGTGCCCGGTCCCTAGTGTCTTCTATATGCCTGGCCCTACATAGGTGCCGGGTCCTTGTCCCCAAAAAGTATCCTGGCTTTTGGTATGCAAGAATTCTTTAAAAGCCTTTGAAAGGGCTCGGCATTCCCATATCCCTGAAAGCCAGGTAGCAGCCTCTGTTTGATAATAAAGTCACCCTCGATCAGCCCTCACCAGTCACAAGCGGGCATAGCCAATGGGGAGCATGGTGGGAGCGGAGGTCCTTGCTGGAGAGGAGGGATGTGGGCCTGTGCTCCTGCTGCAGCTCCTGAGGGGCTGTGACCTTGGAAATTCCTGCCCTGGCATCAGCTGACAATCTCTGGGTCACATCCAGCTCTGGAATTCTGAAGGCAGCATCTGACCTGCCGAGGGGACGAAACCTCTCCCTGCCTGAGCACGTGGGTGGAGAATTTGCCCACTTCAGAAAACCCCTCATGCTGACAACCACCCAGGGCTATTTTCTAAGTCACAGCTGGCACACACCTGGGCACTGTCAGGCCAAGGCATGAATAGCACATGTTGATTTAACAAGTGTTATTCCTGGTTACTGACGAACGGAAGGACAGGAGATGCCAAAGCAGTAGCAGTGCTTGAGGGTGGACATGAGCAGAACTTCCGGCAGGAGGCTGGAGTCCTTCCCCGAGACCAGCGTCGGCTGTCATCCCTTCAGATCCTGCCTTCCCGGGAAAGCAGCTATTCTCCCACCCAGTGAAGTCTCAGAAACTATTTTTGAAAACATGTTAATTGCCACACCAACCGCCTATGGAAAACTTGGTTTCGGTGACAGAAATAAGTGCATGAGATAATCTTTAACCTGTTTCCTTTCTCTCCCTGCTCCCGCCTCCCTCGGCTTCATTAGGGCTCCGGCCGGCACCTGAGGAGCGGCGTGACCTCGAGGGCCCAGGGAGCTGCCCGGCTGGCCTAGGCAGGCAGCCGCACCATGGCCAGCACGGCCGTGCAGCTCCTGGGCTTCCTGCTCAGCTTCTTGGGCATGGTGGGCACGTTGATCACCACCATCCTGCCTCACTGGCGAAGGACGGCGCATGTGGGCACCAATATCCTCACGGCCGTGTCCTACCTGAAAGGGCTCTGGATGGAGTGCGTGTGGCACAGCACAGGCATCTACCAGTGCCAGATCTACCGGTCCCTGCTGGCGCTGCCCCAAGACCTCCAGGCTGCCCGTGCCCTCATGGTCATCTCCTGCCTGCTCTCAGGCATAGCCTGCGCCTGCGCGGTCATCGGGATGAAGTGCACGCGCTGCGCCAAGGGCACACCCGCCAAGACCACCTTCGCCATCCTCGGCGGCTCCCTCTTCATCCTGGCCGGCCTCCTGTGCATGGTGGCTGTCTCCTGGACCACCAATGACGTGGTGCAGAATTTCTACAACCCGCTGCTGCCCAGCGGCATGAAGTTCGAGATTGGCCAGGCCCTGTACCTGGGCTTCATCTCCTCGTCCCTCTCGCTCATTGGTGGCACCCTGCTTTGCCTGTCCTGCCAGGATGAGGCACCCTACAGGCCCTACCAGGCCCCGCCCAGGGCCACCACGGCCACCGCACCTGCCTACCAGCCACCAGCTGCCTACAAAGACAACCGGGCCCCCTCAGTGACCTCGGCCACGCACAGCGGGTACAGGCTGAACGACTACGTGTGAGTCCCCACGGCCTGCTTCTCCCCTGGGCCACTGTGGGCTGGGTCCCTGGCAGGACTGTCAATGGAGGCAGGGGTTCCAGCACAAAGTTTACTTCTGGGCGATTTTTGTATCCAAGGAAATAATGTGAACGCAAGGAAATGTCTTTAGAGCACAGAGACAGACGGGGGAATAAGAGGAGGAGAAAGCTCTCTATACCAAAGACTGAAAAAAAATCCTGTCTGTTTTTGTATTTATTATACGTATTTATGTGGGTGATTTGATAACAAGTTTAATATAAAGTAGCTTGGGAGTTTGGTCAGTGGGGTTGGTTTGTGATCTGGGAATGAACCTTGTGGCTGTGGCTGTTTATGAAGTGGACAGTATCTGTTTCTGCTTCCGGACTGTTATTCTGTCTCCTAAGATGCTGGTAACCACAGTCAGAGCCCAGTGGGGCTCAGGGTTGCAGGGCCGTGCAGCCGTGATGACCACAGCACCGTGGAGTCCTGACTCTGATGCGGGGTGAGGATGTCGGAGGAGGACGGGGCTGATCTCCATTTGTAAGATGCTTGAAAATACTAGGAGCTGCATCCCGGCTTGAACTCAGAGGCAGGGCAGAAGGGAAGGGGCTTCCTTGGAAAAAGATAGTTGCCAGAAGTCACAAAATAAGGACAATGTCATTTTCTTCCTGTGAGCAATAGGTCCCCACTGGTAAGAAAACAAGAGTCAGAAGGAAACGGGGCCGGGCACAGTGGCTCATGCCTGTAATCCCAGCACTTTGGAAGGCTGAGGCAGGCGGATCACCTGACATCAGAGTTCGAGAGCAGTCTGACCAACACGGTGAAACCTCATCTCTTATAAAAATACAAAAATTAGCTGGGTGTGATGGCGCGCACCTGCAATCCCAGCTACTCAGGAGGCTGAGGCAGGAGAATCGCTTGAACTCAGGAGGTGGAGGTTGCAGTGAGCTGAGATTGAACCACTGCACTCCAGCCTGGGTGACAGAGCGAGACTCTGTCTCAAAAAAAAAAAAAAAGAAAAAAAAAAAAAAGGAAAAACGGAGTGAAACATGGCCGGTGTCTTATCTTTCTAGGCTTTGGCAAAAAGCCCAGTTAGGAGCCCACTTGCCCCCAAGGGCCTCATTGGGACTTCACTGGCTTCTTTTCTGGGCTGGCCAGTCCCGGCTGCCATGAGAGCAGCATCTGTGGCTATTCCTGCAGCTGAGAAAAATGTCTGGGGAGCTGGGGGAGGCCTGATGGCTCTGAGAACACTCCTGATCCCTGCTGGCTGTGATCTAAGTCACATGGTGACACACAGGAGGCCTGCTCTCACATTCACATGGGCTCATGTCCTTGGCCCACATCAGACAGCACCTGGCTTCTGTCCCGAACCTGAGGCTCTGAATGTGGAAGGAAACAGCTCACTCCACGGAAGGGCTTGGCCTGAGACTTACACACAGAGGGGCTGTCACGTGAAGTCGCTCTATTCTCAGCGGTCTGGGAGTCAGGGCTCCAGCAGTCACTAAGTGCAGGGAAGAGCCGCAGTGGGTCAGTGGCAGGCATGCAGCCAGCTGGCCAGGCTCGCTCGTGTGGCCTGCTGAGACCCTGGCTTCAGTGCCAGGGAGCCTCTAGTAGAGTGGTCAAGAGGCTTGAGAACTGCTATCAAAAGGGCAGGCCAGGCAGCCTACAGCCCAGAGCCCTGGAACCAGCAAGGCCTGAGGCCTGCTAATGCTCTCCTGACTTCGTGCCTCCTCCTGGCCTGACTGGGTCAGGCACCTGCTTCTCCACTGGCCAAGGCTCACACCCGTAACATGTGTATACTGGGCAGCCCTCTTCTGATTGCTTTAGGCTCTGCCATTTATACCTAATAAACTATGTTGTGATAAAATCTCTCAGGGGCCTCCTAGCAATATTGAAGAACAGAGGATTTAAGGAACGGCTGTACACATACTTACATACTTCTTTTTTGTTTGTTTGTTTGAGATGGAGTCTTGCCCTGTGTGCCCAGGGTGGAGTGCAGTCGCACAGTCTCCACTCACTGCAACCTCTACCTCCCGGGTTCAAGCGATTCTCCTGCCTCAGTCTCCCAAGTAGCTGAGACTACAGGTGCATGCCACCCCACCTGGCTAATTTTTGTATTTTCAGTCGAGATGGGGTTTCACCATGATGTTGGCCAGGCTGGTCTTGAACCCCTGACCTCAAATGATCCTCCTGCCTCAGCCTCCCAAACTGCTGGGATTACCGGTGTGAGCCACTGCTTCTGGCTTCTTGTCTGTTTTGTATGAGCCTCTAGACCCCAGGCAACAGATGACTCTTCTGGAAGGAGTGGGTGCCACACATCTCAGCCTTTATCTGACCACAGAGAAGATGAGGAGGCTGGGATCTGCCATGCTATTTAGGCCAGGCATCGAGATCTGAGAGGTCCTTATTTATTTAGGATGAAACAAGCAGTTGTTATCTATTCTTTAAGTTATAAAAAAGGAATAAATCTGAATCCACAAAGAGGAGAAAAACTATTTTCTACCGGCAGAATGATACTGTCAGTGTTTGCTTGATGGGCACAATCCAGACAGCATTTTATGAAGTTATTCTAGTTAATAGACCTGTTACAAATGAAAGAAAAAATACCTTTTCTTTTTGTTTTGAGATGGAGTCTCGCTCTGTCACCCAGGCTGGAGTGCAGTGGTGCAATCTTGGCCCACTGCAACCTCCACCTCCCAGGTTCAAGGCATCCTCCCAGTTCAGCCTCCTGAGTAGCTGAGCTTACAGGCACCCACCACCATGCCTGGCTAATTTTTGTATTTTTAGTAGAGATGGGGTTTCACCGTGTTGGCCAGGCTGGTTTCAAACTCCTGGCCTCAAGTGATCCACCTGCTTCGGCCTCCCAAAGTGCTGGGATTACAAGAGTGAGCCACCACACCCAGGTATGAAAAAATGACTTTTTCAAACTCTTTTTCTGAATTCTGTCACTACTAAAATAAAATATGGCTCTCTCTCCTCCTCAGGTGAAAGTCTAGTAATAATGATTACAATTTATTATCACTTACTGTGTATCAGGCGTAGTTTTCTTTCATCTACTAATTTGATTCAATGTGAGAGAATTTTTTTTTAGTTTTCTGTTTTGTTTTGGTTTTTTGAGATAGGGTCTTGCTCTGTCACCCAAGCTGGAGTTCAGTGACTCAATCACAATTCACTGCAGTCCAACCTCCTGAGCTCAAGCAATCCTCCCATCTCAGCCTCCTGAGTAGCTGGGACTACAGGTGTCCACCACCACACATCTGACTAATTTTTTTTTTTTTTTTTTTTTTAGAGACAGGGTCTCACTGTTTTGCCCAGGCTGATCTCCCACTCCTGGGCTGGCTCAAGCAATCCTCCTGCCTCAGCCTCCCAAAGTGCTGGGATTATAAAGGTGAGCCACTGCACTAGCTAAATATTAATCTTAACCTCATTTTACAAAGGAGAAAACTAAAGCACAGAGATTAAGTTACTTGCCCAGGGCCACAGGGCAAGTGAGTAAAAGACCCAGGATTTGAACCCAGACAGGTAGGCAAGGGGTGAATACATTAACTCAAGAAGACACATGACCTATAGTCTAAGCACATTTATGTCCAGACTATATCCAAATAACACAGGGAACTGCTTCATGGCCATATTCGGCTCTTTGCAGAACCATCACTTGACAGGGCTTGTGTTAACTGGGTCCTAGGTGGATTGGATGACAGATGATGTCAGACCCAGACGTCCAAGATGGAATCCCATGGGAAACAGGCAGTGGCACACAGGAGGGGATTTGCGTGGCTCCATCATCCGAAAGCTGGCCAGCTCAGATAGGAAGTTGATCTTCCTAAGACCTTGGTTCCCACCCTCAGAAAGAAGGTGGAAGAATGCAGCACCCAGCTCTCCCTTCTCTCTGGCTCTCACCATTCCTCAGGTCCTCTGAGCCCCTCTTTGCCACATTACAACCTTGGCCGTGAGAGATGCCTGTATCCACCCAAATCTTTGGGACTAGGATTTCTTAACCAAGGTTGTTTCAACAAAAGCATGATCTCCTTGTGGAGGTACAATGCACAACGCCACATTTCCGACTGAAAAGAGAACATGAGCCTGACTCATGTGTTCCAGAAAACCGTTGTTATAGGCAAAAATTTACAGCATGACCCTTATGGATTAAGAAATGCTGCATTTCTTTATTTCTCTAAATCACATCAAATTTGGCTCCAATTCAGAGAGATCTAAAGTCATTATGGGGAAAAAATATATATTAAAGTCAAGCATGTTTTCTGGTCCCCTCTGCCTGCACTGAGGGGGTCTCAGGGGCCCAGCACTAAGGGAGGCCCCAGACTTAGAAGGGATGCGGGGCTCAATCTTCAGTCCTTGGGGTGGCCCTGGTTTCCCACTGATTGCCAGGCCTGATGCCTTCACAGCCTAGGAGCTCCCGGTGCTCCTCATCCCTCCCTTTAAATAGGCACTGGAATCTTCCACCCTGTAGAAGCCTGGGGCAAAAGTAACCTTTTTCCCAGGCAGTCTCTGGGAAGCTGTTTCCCCTCTTGGACAACACGGCCTAATTGGTTTCATGAATTTAGCCTTTTGAAATCAAAGGCTTCTGAAACGTCCCAGAAATCCCACTTTCATGTCAAGCACTGTGGACATAAACGGAAATAATTTGAAAACTACAGCACAATTTGAAATGTGTATAATAACAATCAATTTCTTGATAGTAATAAACCAAAGATGGCACCAGAATTTGCACCCAAAAATCCTGGCCCCAAAGCCCCACACTTGGCCACAATGCCATCCTGCCTCCCTGCCTTGGTCCCCCTGTCTCTCACTGCCAGGCAGAAGGAGCAGCATGGATGGTGACAATCCAGGCACGTAGACTCCATGTGGGTCTGGACTAGGTGGTGGCAGTGGAGAGGTGGGAAGAGGTGGGGATGGGCCTGCCGGTAGAGGTGATAGGGTTTCCTGATGGCCAAGCGTGCAGAGTGGAAAAAAAGATGCTTTAAAGGTGATGCCAAGGCTTGGGACTGGATCAACTGGAAGAAGAGCATTACCATTTTCTGAAATGAAGAAGATTCCAGAAAGAATGGTTGTTGATGAGGTAGATCAAGTTTGCTTTCATGTATTTGGTCTGAGCTGCCTCAGGTGGAGAAGTTGAGTGGGTACTTAGGTATATAAACCTGGAGTTCAGGGACAGCCCTGAGCTGGAGAGATTGGCCCAGAGATGGAATTTAAACCACGCAGCTTGAAAAAATCACACTGGAAGTGAATATAGATGAGGAACTCAAGAGACTGGGCCGAGCCCTAGAGAGAGTGGCATACAGAAGCTAGCAGAGGCGGGGGATTCAGCACAGGAACCAGGTGAGAAGTGCCCAGGGGGCGAGGGAAACCAAAAGAGGAGCGCCCTGGAAGCCAAGGCCAGAGCCCGTTTCAAGAAGGAAGGAGCAATCAACAGCACGGATTTACCACCTTTAATCTTCACAGACACTCAAGAAGTCAGCACTATCCTCACCTTCCTTCCACAGATGAAGCAGAGCATTTGCTCACGTGACTTGAAGATGCGCGTAAAGCCCCTTCACCATGAGAAAACTTTCATGCAACTGGAAGTTCAAATTTCCTACTGCGTGTAAGTGACGGTTTAGTTCCTAAGAGCTACACGGAGACCCAATAGGACTTCATGTGTGTGGGTCTCAGGGGAGGAGAGGGCAGCAA